CCGGGGAAGGCTCCCTCTGGTGGCGGAGAGGAGACGGAGCGGGAGCCTCCACTGTAACAGAGCCCCCCCCCTGCGAGCGGCTCCTGACGCGAGGAGGCAAATGTCGTCGGGGTCTCCCACGGGGTCGAGGGGCCGGTTTCTCCGGGTATGTCCTATGAAACTCTTCCGTGAGAGTGGGGTCCAGCATATCCCTCGAATTGACCCAGGACTGTTCCTCCGGACCGTACCCCTCCCAATCGACCAGATATTGGAGAATGTTACCCCGACGTCTGGAATCCAGCAACTTGTGCACCTTATACGCCTCCTCGCCGTCAACCAGAAAGGCAGGAGGACTCTGGGAGGTGGCCCCCTCCTCCGTTTCTCCCCTCGGACCACCAGCGGGTTTCAACAGAGAAACATGAAAAGTGGGAGAAATTCGGTAGTTAGCGGGCAGGTCTAATCGGAATGAAACGGGTGATATTTGTCTTATGATTTGTAAGGGACCAACATACCCGGGACTGAGCTTGCGACATGGAAGTCTGAGTCGAAGATCTCTGGTTGACAGCCATACCCACTGACCAATCTGGTATTCTGGAGCAGGACGTCGACGACGATTGGCCTGTTGCTCCTGTCGTCTTACAGCATGCCTTAGATATGTGTGTGCCTGATCCCAGACCTCCTCACTCTTACGTAGCCATTCAGTGACGGATGGAAGTTCTGTGGGTTCGCCAGACCATGGGAAGAGAGGTGGTTGGAATCCGAGGATGCACTTGAAGGGAGTGATGCCGGTCGCTGGTTTGATCAGGGAATTCTGAGCATATTCAGCCCAGAACAGATATCTGCTCCAATCTTATTGATGTTGCTGGCAATATGTTCGCAGAAAACGGATGATATCCTGATTGAGGCGTTCAGTTTGTCCGTTGGATTGTGGATGGTACCCGGAGGTGAGACTAACGTTGACGTTAAGGTTCTTGAAGAAGGCAGTCCATACTCGGGAGGTGAATTGAGGTCCACGATCTGACACAATGTCCTCAGGCAATCCATAGAAGCGGAAGACTTGGTTACACAAGAGTTCGGCAGTTTCGAGAGCTGTGGGGAGTTTGGTGAGGGGAACAAGTCGACAGGCTTTAGAGAATCTGTCCACGATGGTCAAGATTGTGGTGTGGCCTTGGGAACTGGGGAGGTCAGTAATGAAATCAATGGCGATGTGTGACCAAGGTCGTTGCGGTGTGGGAAGTGGACAAAGTAGACCAGCAGGTAGTTTCCGGGGTGATTTAGAGGTTTGACATTCGGTACAGTTTTGAACATGGTTTGTGGTATCAACAGTAAGCGTGGGCCACTAAAAATGATTCTGGAGAAGGTGGATTGTGGCGTTGATTCCGGGATGACCAGAGCTGGGGTTGGAGTGGACTTGATCAAGGAGACGAGGTCGCAGGGGTTCTGGAACAAAGATGAGATCGGGCGGACATTCTGTGGGGGCAGGAGTTTGGATATTGGCTTGCTGAATTTCGGTGATGATATCCCACTGAACCGGAGCTACAAGTAGGTTTTCACACAGAATGTTTTCTGGGTTGGGGTTCTGGTTAATCTCATCCGACTGTCGAGAGAGAGCGTCAGCTTTTGTGTTCTTGGAGCCCGGTCGATATGTGACAGTGAAGTTGAATCTGGTAAAGAATAACGCCCATCTGGCTTGGCGTGGATTAAGACGTTTGGCGGATCGCAGGTATTCCAGATTCTTGTGATCTGTGAGGATGACGAAAGGTTCGGCTGCTCCTTCCAGCCAGTGACGCCACTCTTCTAGGGCCAACTTCATGGCTAGCAGTTCGCGGTTTCCCACATCATAGTTACGTTCAGCAGGCAACAGTTTGCGGGAGAAAAATGCGCATGGATACATTTTAGCTGGTTCCCCTTGGCGTTGTGATAGGATGGCCCCCACGCCTGTATTAGAAGCATCCACTTCTACAATGAACTGGCGTTCTGGATCTGGATGACGTAAAATAGGTGCAGTGGTGAAACGTTTTTTAAGTTCTTGAAATGCCGTTTGTGCTTCGGGGTTCCAGGAAATACGAGAGCTGTGACGTTTGGTTAGTGCGGTTAAGGGGGCGGCAATGAGGCTGAAATTTCTAATGAATCTTCGGTAGAAGTTTGCGAATCCCAGAAATCTTTGAAGCTCTTTCACAGTTTGTGGTACTGGCCAGTCCACTACTCCCTTCACCTTTTTCTCATCCATGGCCACTCCGTCTTGACTGATTACATAGCCTAGGAAAGAGACACTGGTTTGATGAAATTCACATTTTTCCATCTTGGCGTAGAGATGAAATTGAATTAATCGTTGGAGGACAGATCTGACATGCTGGATGTGTTCGTCAAGTGAGTTGGAGTATATCAAAATATCATCAATGTAGACGATCACCCATCTGTCCAGCATATCCCGGAAAACATTGTTCATGAAAGCCTGGAAAACGGAAGGACTGTTAGACAAGCCGAAAGGCATAACCAAGTACTCATAGTGCCCACTAGTGGTGGAAAAGGCAGTTTTCCATTCATCCCCCTCTCGAATGCGAATCAGATTGTAAGCGTTGCGTAAATCGAGCTTGGTATAGAACTTGGCCTGACGGAGCTGTTCTAAGGCGGCTGGAACCAGAGGCAGTGGATAACGATATTTGACTGTGATATCATTTAATCCCCGATAATCAATGCAGGGTCTGAGTCCCCCATCTTTCTTTTTCACAAAGAAAAACCCGGCAGCTGCTGGTGATGTGGAGGGTTGAATGAAGCCCTTCGCAAGTTCCTCTTCTATATATTTTTTCATAGCTTCAGATTCAGGTTTTGATAAGGGGAAAATTCTTCCTCTTGGGGGAGTAGCACCGGGAATCAAGTCTATGGCGCAGTCAGTTGAACAATGTTCAGGGAGTTGTGCAGCTTTCTCCTTGCTGAAGGCTTCAACCAGATCCGCATAAACAGAAGGTACATTTTCAAGCTCAGGTACTGTAGTACAGGCCGCTGGCATGGAACGGATTACTCGGGTGACTTTGGACAGACAGTGATTCTTACAAGTCTCATCCCAGCGAATGATTTGACTCTCTCTCCAGGAGATGTGAGGGTTATGGGTTTGAAGCCATGGATGACCCAGAATGATGGAGTGATGTGGAGCGTGAATGACAAAAAACTGAATGTTTTCAGAATGAAGAGATCCTATGTGCATCTTGATTTTCTCCGTCACACATTGGATTCTCCCCTCTCCGATAGGGTGTCCGTCTAGCGCCTCCACTGTTAGAGAAGAATGACAAGGATGCAGTTGGATTTTACAATGTTCGGCAAATGTTTGAGAAATGAAATTTCCTGCTGCACCGGAGTCTATGAAGGCTGTAGTTTCAATGACTTTATCTTGAATGGTTAAACGGACCGGAATAGTGAGACTGTTAGTAGAAACTTTCCCTTTGTCTTGAGAATTCACGGACGGTTTCTGAGTGGAGGGTCGAACAGGACAGGAGAGTTTCATGTGTCCGGCTTGACCACAGTACATGCACAATCGATTCTGGAATCTACGTTCTCGTTCTTCGGGAGTGATATGTGTGAACCCAAGGTGCATGGGTTCATGATTGGTTGCTGCCTTGAATGAGTTACGGATTGTTGCCCGGGGATTGCGTCTAGATCGCATCAGATTGTCGACTTGAATGGCCAGAGCGATATAATCGTTTAGATTTCTCCCCTCATCGCGACAGGCTAACTCAGACTGAAGCTCAGTGGTAAGTCCTCTCCTGAAGAGTGTCTTCAAAGTGTCCTCTACCCAGTTTGTTTGTGCGGCGAGCGTGCGAAAAGTGAGGGCATAATCAGCAGTGGTTTCTTTTCCCTGTGTGAGATTTAAAAGATGTTCACCTGCTTCTCCTTCTCCAGTGGTATGCTCAAAAACTTGCTGCGTGAATTCTTGAAATGTGATGACTGTATTTCCCTCTGGTTTCCACATAGCCGTTGCCCACTCTAGTGCTCTGCCGGTGAGTAGCGAACACACAAAAGCAATGCGACTCCCATGACTGGAGTATAGTGCCGGTTGTTGTTCAACGAAGATCGTGCATTGTAATAGGAAACCCTTGCATTTGCTTGGTGTGCCATCAAATTTATCAGGAAATGCGAGCCGTGGATTGATTGTGGTACTCACATTTTCAGGAGGAATTCTCGGTAATGGAGGAGGAGCGGGCGTGCTGGATGTTACGCCGACGGCAGTGCGAAGCTCTTGCATTCCCTGTACCAGCTGTTCGGTGAGAGTGGTCAGGTGACCGAGCTGCTGGTGGTGCAGATCCAAACGAGAGGCTTGAGTGGTGAGTTCGGTGGTTAACTGTAGGACAGCTGCTGGATTAGAAGATGGCGAAGTCTTCTGTAATGAACCACAGGGAACAGAGGAATCCATTTGCAGCTTTATTAAACAGAGTCGTACAGGCAGGGTCGAGACAAGGCAGACAGAGCAATGCAGATAAGACAATAGGATAATCCAGGAAACAGGCAGAGATCAGGGTAGGCAGCAATAATGGTAATCCGTAAACAGTCCGAGTTCAGGCCAGGCAGATATCAATCACAGGAGAGTCAAACAGTCCAAAGTCCAAAACCAGAAAATCAGAATCAGGGTATAAACCAGGGGTGTCAAACTCATTTTTACCCCGGGCCACATCAGCATTATGGTTTGCCTCAAAGGGCCAGTTGTAACTATAAAACTGTGTAAATGCAGCTACTACTTAACATATTGTTAAATAACTCTCTGCATTTGTCATCCAGGTGGATGCTGCACATTAGTGGTGGTTGAGGTGATTCCCCCTTCAATGTAAAGCGCTTTGAGTACCTAAAAAAATGTTATATAACGAATTATTATAATAAAATTATTCGCTTTGATAACTATTTATTCAAGTGTACAAATACACCAAACGCATTCAAATAAATGTAAAATATATGTAAGGACATTGCTCTGTGTTATAGAACATACATTTATCTAATTCATTTCATTTTTAAGGTTAAGAAAAGATCATACTTGTCAAGTGAATAACAAAGACAAATATCATTAAACACAAGTTATTAAATCAACTCTGTTCAAAACTTTGCCACAGTTGAGACGGGCAGAACTATGGTCCAACACATACAGTAAGTGTCGGAGGCTGAAAACATGCGTGACAGATGTGGCATTTTACAAAAACAAAAGGCTAGACAGCCTTGCAGAGGGGATATCCAATCCAACTAATGAGATATGGTTTTGATTACAGTAAACATTTTGCTGGATGGACACATACACCTGTAAACACAGAACATTGCTTCATTCACAATGTAGTATGTGTAATTAACTCAAAATAGCAACAGGGGTTGTCTCAGTTCACAACTGTATTGGTCAAGTTCTGAGTGAAGCTGATGAGGTGATGCTGCTTGACCTCAACACACCAAAGATCCACTTCAAGTTCTGAAAATAACAAACACAAATCAAAATGCAAGCTCAAACATTACATTTCACACATTATTACACAGTACTTATTCAGGTATATATATATATATATATATATATATATATATATATATATTTATGCAATTCAGGTTTATAAAAATGCTTACATATTTGTCTTCTGGCTGGATGTCTGACACCGTTTTCTTCTGGTCAGTTCGTCAATGTCTGGCTTTAGGTCTTGTGCTGTAGCAATCCGTAAAACAGCGTGGAGGTTGTCATCATTGATGCGTGATCTGTGCTTTGTCTTGTTTAGATTCATTATTGAAAACATCTGTTCGCACAAGTAGGTGCTCCCAAACATGGACAGAATGCGGGCAGCATTAAGCCGAAGCTGTGGCATCAATTCAGGGGGCAGTAGGTTGTAAAAGTCCTCGATTGCAGCATCCTGGAACTTTGCTCTCAGGGCACTATTGCTTTGAAGTTCTATTAACTCCATCTGAAGGAGATGGGGTGCACTGTCAACGTCAGCGGTGAAAGGATTGGAAAAGATGGCAAAGCCTGGGTGCTGTGTTTTAAAGTCAGAAAAGCGCCGATCAAATTCATTAATTAACCGGTTCACTTTGGTAGCCAACCGAGCGCATGAAAAAGCACCAGAGACTGAGGCGGAGATGCTCTGACAGACAGGAAAGTGGGCAAGATTATCCTGTTCCAGTTGGGACTTCCACATGTGCAGTTTACGCTGGAAAGCTGTGATCATGTCGGACATCTGCGTGATGACTTGTTTGCGTCCCTGCAGCCTCTGATTCAGATGAGCGAGATGCTCAGCTAGATCACACAACATAGCAAAGTCACACAGCCAGTTTGGATCAGACAGTTCATGCAAAGGCTTTCCTTTACTTTGCATAAAAAGCGCAATTTCTTCTCTCAGCTCAAAAAATCGTTTGAGGACCGCGCTCCTACTCAGCCACCTTACTTCTGTATGGTATGGCATATCTCCATGCTCCGAGCCCACCTCCTTTAAAAACAGCTGGAACTGGCGGTGATTCAGGCCGCGCGCTCGAATGAAGTTCACTGTTTTCACGACTGTGCTCATTATATCATCCAGTTCTAGAACCTTTCCACACAGAGCTTCTTGGTGGATAATGCAATGATAAGTTATCAGAGGTGTGTGGCAGTTACTTTTTTGCATTTTCTCCTTCACTAGTCCAACCAAGCCTGCCTTTTCTCCACACATCGCAGGTGCGCCATCGGTAGTTAACCCCACCAACTTTTCCCAAGGTAATTTAGTTTTACTTACGGACCTCTCCACCGCATCAAAAATGTCCTTCCCCTTCGTTGTCCCATGCATTGCAACTACATCCAAGAGCTCCTCGCTGATGGAAAAGTCTGCTTTTACGCCTCTTATAAAAATGGATAGTTGCGCTGTATCCGTATTGTCTGTACTTTCATCAACAGCCAATGAAAAAGTCTGGTAACTGCGTGTCTCTTCCGCCAGCTGTGCTGTCATATTGCCTGCCAGTTCCTTAACTCGGTCTGCGATGGTGTTTCTTGACAAGCTGACATTTTTAAAATTCTGTATCTGGTCGGGGCACACCTGCTCACATACCTTTAGCATACTCCTCTTCAAAAATGCTCCCTCTGAAAAACACTTGGAAGCGCGAGCGATTTCTTCAGCCACGATAAAGCTAGCTTTCACGGCTGCATCATTTTTTGCTGTGGCTTTCGTGAACATATTTTGCTGCCCTTGTAGTCTTCCTTTCAATTCATGAACAATTTGATTTTTTTCTTGGAGACTAGAGTTAGCATACTTAGCTCCGTGTTTGGTGTCAAAATGCCGACGTAAATTGTATTCCTTCATTACCGACACAGCCTCGCCACACAGAAGACATACCGGTTTTTCTCCTTGAAGAACAAACATGTATTCACTTTCCCATCGTTCTTTAAATTGCCTCCCCTCTGCATCAATTTTTCTCTTTTTGGACATTTTAGTTGATAAATTTACAATTTGGGTTATTTAGCTTTTCTCGACTCCACCGCGTCGATATGGAAACACTGCTCTCTAGCGGCACGACGCCGTCATTTCGCGGGTTTCAAAATCGGCATGCATTGTGGGAGATGTAGTTTTTGATCAATGACGACTGACCGCCGGAGGTGAGGAGTTTACTACGCCCGTTTCACACATACTCCGTTTGCAGTGCGTATGCGGTCCGTATTTTTTTCCGTACCCATGTTAACAGGTTAGAGCTTTCACACTGCACGCGGATGCAGTCCGTCGATCCGTTCCAGTTGCGGTGCGTATACAGCAGTGCAGAGATCGTTTCCGTACCGAGTCTATTTCTGCTGTGCTGCAAACGCAGAAATAAAGTGACAGCACACGGTTCGTGGTCAAAATGATCTCAGATTGACCTCGAAATGTAGTAGTTTTACCATAAATGCATTTAATTCAATAAAATGTAGTAATCTTTCCATAAAGGTATTTAATTGTTTCATATTTTTACTTTAAGACATCTTAATATACAAGTAATGCATGGAATTGTATACATTCGTTGTTTAAATCGTGTTTAAACGAGCATGCGTCCATTCAAGTTTGTAAAAGAGAATCGCAAAGCCATGGCAAAACTTTTATTTTAAAAAAAGTTACTGCATATGGTGAACATATTTTGATTACCAAAAACCAGGACACATGGCCCAGAAAACAAATGATACTCGAAGTTTACTCAAAGATGCCTTATTAATTTTATAATTAGGATACTCAACATGTTTTATTATGACAGGTTGGTTTAAAAAATAATGAATGAAATAATGATTAAAAAATAATGTCTCTTCTGTATTAGAAAAATAAATATATCAATATTGATTAACTAAAAGAAATACCTTCAAATTGAACAAAAATACCTCTCACAAACGTACAAAAACGAACTCGTTTCCTTCCTCTTTATCCTGTTTTTCCTCCTCATCCTCCTTGTCTGCTCATCTCCTATATTTTGCTATAAAGCTGATCTTTTCCAGCGGTTTTTTTTTTTTTTTTTAACCAGGACATCACTTTATAAAAAACGGCCAGGAAGGACGTGAAAACAGGACTGGGATAACAGGACTGGTGGTCACTGGTCACGCTATTGCTGCATAACTTCTGTACCACAAACACTCTCTATTTTTATTTCGAAATCAGCTCACACAATGCAAACGCAGCATATGTGAAAGCACTTTAGCGCGTGTGGCTCCTGTACCGGATACGCACCGCAACACTCACCGCATACGCACTGCAAACGGAGTATGTGTGAAACGGGCGTAAGCGTGAGCGCGCTGGGGCGGGTATAACTTACATTCGTAGCCTGACTCATATGAGTATTCAACGTGCGGAGCAACAGCTGGCCGTTTTGAATGAGACAACTCGGTTACTGTGAACGGGGAGCGCTTTATGAACATTCATGTGACGTGCGAGCAGCGCGGGGGACAGTGTGTCTGTTAAGAGTGAGCGCTCGTGAGCAGGCATGTGAACTGGCTGTGTGACAGAGCGGGCATAAGATGGACACGAGCGCGAGTTTGCGGGCGAATTTAATAACGCTGAGTGTTGTTAACCAATTGATCCATAAGGCGCGCCCGCTGACGTTTTTGAGAAAATTAAAGGCTTTAGGTGCGCCTTATGCAGAAAATACGGTACTTAAGACAATCAAATACCTGTTGAGCTCGCGCGGGCCACATAAAATGACAGGGCGGGCCGAATACGGCCCGCGGGCCTTGAGTTTGACACATGTGGTATAAACGCTCAGAAATGATTACCGGGGCAAATCAAGACTTCGCACTGGAGTGGTGTGTGAAGGTGGCTTTTATGGGTGTGTGCAAATGCAGTGCAGGTGTGATGCGCAATCAGTCCCAGGTAAGAGGCATGATGGGAATTTGAGTTTAAAGGGCACCTATTATGGAAAATTCACTTTTACATGGTGTTTGAACATAAATGTGTGTTGGCAGTGTGTGAGCAAAACCACCCTAGAATGATAAAAATCCATCCAGTAGTTTTTTTACAATCTCAATAAATCATATGCACCGTCTCAGAACGAGCTGTTCTGAGATCCAGGTCTTTGTGACGTAGAACGGGAGACAGGGGGTTGATTGACAGTGTGGCTGTGGCCTAGACCCCGCCCTCGGTGATCTGTACACACCATCCTTCATTGTTTCAACGACGACAGCCGGTAATGTCTCTTGGAAACGTAAATTTATGTTCTGTCGTGGACTAGTGGGTTAATCCTGTTGTTGTGGCTTAAAAGTTCATCCTCAAGTGTGGATTGTCGTCTACTGTTTGCGATCCACCGTCACCCCAGTAACAGTAAGTGTATTTTATGATTTTTGAGCAAATAGTCTTTTCAGTCAATGTCAGCCAATTCAACAACAAATGCGTCTAAAGTTATTGCCGTCGTAGGATGTCTGTGTATATAATTTAAAACCTTGTTTGTATAGTGTGTAACCACACGTTTATAAATATATATATTTTTAAATATATTGTATTAAAAACTGCATATATGTTGGTGTTCTGTAAGTTAGCCATCTTCTCACATTTGCCACAGAAGCACCTGTATGACAAGTAGCTAAACATGACGCCACAGGTCCCTCGCATAAATGTAATTTCGCTCGTACGTAGCAAACTTTATCACAGAATGTGTATGTAGTTTCAAAAAATTGCGCTAGTGTCTGTGTGTGTGTGTGTGTGTTGGACATCCATCATTTCAAATGGGACGCTATTACAACTCTAAAGTACATAAAAGTATCAAATAACCATACCGAGACGTACTGGTCGATTCTCATATGTTTATTCTGCCGGAGTCTCTTCATACTATTTATATATTCCGATTCAAACGTACGCTGAATGACATTCAATACGGCGCGTCTCTTCACTCTCTCAGTACCGACTGCCTGCCATAGGTATCAAGTTACGCCCTCATCCAAAGGCAGGGCGGGGATATGCAGCTCATTTGCATTTAAGGTGGAATACCCCTGAAACAGCTCATTTTTAAGCAGGCCCCAAAATGACATTTTCAAATGGTTATAATAAATTAACTGTGGGGTATTTTGAGCTGAAACTTCACAAATACATTCTGGGGACACCTGAGACCAATATTACATCTTGTAAAAAGGGGCATAATAGGTGCCCTTTAAAGCCAATGATCAATATTCCGGGGAAGGCTCCCTCTGGTGGCGGAGAGGAGACGGAGCGGGAGCCTCCACTGTAACACCCAGCCACAACTTAATAGGCTTTCCACGGTCAGACTGGAACCATTACAGTATTAGAGGTATTTTTTTTATTAAAATAAAACAAAATAAAACATTTATACCTGTTGTACCTGTTATGAAACCCATGACCTGCAATTATGACCAATTAATGCATTGACCACGGACAGCCTAAAAAGGTCCAGTCAAATAAGTTACAGGTGGGCCCTTTCTGTGCCCACCTGCAACTCATTTGACAGGGTCCGTGTAAGCTGTCCGTGGACATGCCATTTATTTTATTTTTGATTCATTCGTTTATTTTTATTAAAGGGTTAGTTCACCCAAAAATGAAAATTCTGTCAGTATTTACTCACCCTCAATCCCCAATCTGTTTGATTAAAACATTCTTCCAAATATCTTCCTTTGTGTTCAGCCGAACAAATAAACACATAGAGGTTTGGAACAACATGAGGTTGAGTAAATACTGACAGAATTTTCGTTTTTGGGTGAACTAACCCTTTAAGGATTTTCTAATAATACAAAGAGAAGCCAATGGCTTTTTAAAATAAAAAGTTTGTGTAGAAAGCATTATGTCCTCCTGTTTGAGCTCATTATTTAATTTCTCCAAAGGAAGAAAGGCTGACAGCTGAGAGTTCCCCCCCAAAATAAAAAGGTACCTGAGATTTATACATTTTTAACAGGATACACATTTAATTTTAAAGCTAACAATGCATAAATTCTGAACTGTAAATTATACCATGTTGGATTAATTGCCCTGTGCACTGTACTGAATTTTTTTAAAGTAACAAAACATTTAGAATGATGAATTATGACCTATTACTGCATTGACCACGGACAGCTTAAAGAGGTCCAGTCAAATAATTTACAGGTGGGGCCCTTTCGGTGCCCAACTGTGTGAACTAACTTTGTTTCCATTTTTTTAAAGATGCTGTTGACGTGTCCTCTCTGCCCGGCCCAGGTTCTTTACCTGCGGTATCACCTCCGGTCGCAGCACTGTATCATAAAAGGGGAGGAGAGGACGATTCTGCTGCGACTGATGAGGGGTAAAGCTCTGGAACTTGGGCTGCCCAGAGTGCGGGGTGGTCTACGAATCCAGAGCTGACAGTAAGTATAATCTCAAACTAGCATTCTTGTTTTTGTGAATTCATTAAAAAAAATTTTTGAATAAAACTCTCTGTTCAGAGAAAACAGGTCAAGTTGTTGACCAAACAACTTGAAAAGGAGGTTGCAGAGAAACAACTGCAGAAAATAAGGGACAGTCAACAACTTGACCCTCAAGTCTTGTCAGCTCCAGATGGCTCTGAACAGTCCCTCCAGGATTTCGCGATGTCGCGATCGCAACTATTAACGCAATTTCAACAAATTCCCGTGAATTCAGTGTGCCGTGCAATATTGACCAATCACCGCAATTTTTCTGCAACTTTGACCAATCATCGCGGTCTCCTGCAAAGCGTCATCAAACTCACTCCCTCAGCATTCAGAAGACGCAGCAGACGTGTGCAGCCAACGTCTCACATTTACCAACAAAAATAACAGCAAAGTACCGCGAAAAACAGTATCCAGATGTTCTTTATGAAAGCGGGGGTAAACTGTTTTGCAAGATGTGCAATATTGTTGTCGAACATAAAAGAAAATCGTCAATCGACAAACACTTTGCCACTGCTAAACATATGCGGAGAATGACAAATATGCATGGAGCATAGTAAGACGAGACAAATCACTGTGACACAGGCTATTGCATCCCGGTCAATTGCGAGCTCTGAAAAAATCAAGGTAAGTTAAGTTGGTTTAAATATATATGTATTAGGGGTGGAACGGTACATTTACACTGTGTGTGTGTGTGAGTGAGAGAGAGAGGCGTGGGTAGTTGAATGGTTGAAGTGCGCGCGGGCGTGATCGAACTCTCGCTCTCTCTCTCTCTCTCTCTCTGTGTGTGTGTGTGTGTGTGTGTGTGAACGAGTGTGTGAGAGAGAGAGACGTGGGCACGTGTGAGTGAGAGCGAGACTCTCTTGGACAGTGTAGAGCGATAGTCCCCTGTTAGTAATATACACGTGTGTGTGTGTGTGTGAGTGAGTGAGAGTGAGGCGCGCGAGCGAAGTGTGTGTGTGTGTGAGAGAGAGAGAGAGAGAGAATGAGAGAGTGAGAAGTACACGACTTTGAATTCCTCAACTATCATTTATAATGTGTACTAAAATCAGTTACAAAAGTGAAATAAAAATAAATGATTTAGTTTCTTGTTTTGAGAGGTTTTCTGTACTGTCAGGAGTAGAGGGATTTATTATGATGCATCTTTAAACATAAATGCTGCTTAATGTTTGTGAGGTTCTGCACATTTACATTTTTGCAGGTGTTTAAAAAAATAAAGCTTAATTTGTTACATTCTCTTGCTCTTTTGCCTTTTTATAAGGTTACTAAAGGTTAGTTATTGTTTTTTTTCTCATTAGATCAATATCTTTTTTTTTAATTTTAATGATTTTAATTGTGCATGAACTGCACCTGGATGTTAATCTGGACACACAATAGAGCAGATGGTGAACTGTTTTCTGTGGGACATGGTAAGTCCCTTTGGGGTGGACATTGGGCTTTTTCACTTTGTAAACCTATAACATGCACGAAAAAGATATATAACTATAAAAGGAAAGGGAAAAAGCATAATATCTACCTTTGCCGTTTTAACCTTTAAAAACAAATGCCAAAGAACATGGCAACTTTCATTGCAACTTTTTAGAAAAGCGTCCGCAACATCAGGAATTTTAGGCCGCAACAATCACGAAAAAGGCCCGCGAAATCCTGGAGGGACTGTCTGAAGGAGGAGAGCAGCCGCAAAGCCCTGTTCACACAGGTGTTCAGAGCCCTGTGGCTGTTCCATCTGAATGTCTTCAACTGCTGGATAGGTTTTGAATGATTTTCTTTGCAATGGAAATATGACATTTTTTACAAGATGTTGAACAAACTATTGAGTCTTGTGTGTGTCTATTGTAGAAGATTTTGAAATGGAGACAGCTCCTAGCTTCCTGTGTAAGTGATCAACATGTAATTTATGCTATATTGTTTAAACAAGAACAATACATTAATGTCTTTTTTTTCATTATAGAGCTACTAATGTCAAGTGAGCCCCAAGAGGAAGTGCAAGCACTTGGTAGGTATCAGGTGAACAATTGTTTAAACTTGTACTCTGTTGCTTATTTTTTTCATGAAGAAGACATTCATTTTTTTTTTCTTGTTCTTAGATGATTTGTTCAATCAAATTGCCAAGTATGAAGTTCAAGTTTCTTCGGGTCCACAAGGTAAGCAATAGGTGATAAGTTTACATACACGAAACCAAGTTTTGTTGTTATGTTATTTTTTTTTTTTAATGAATTGTTGTTATTTGTTTCCCCTTTCCTTTTTTTTCCATTTGCCAAGGGGAAACAGACCTGTCAACAATCGACTTCAGTCAATTGCTAAACCTGTAAATATGTTCATTAATTACTGTATATAGTTGAAATGTTTAATGTTGTAGTTTTATATTTATTCCACATTTTTTAGATTGTTATTATTGTATTTTAAAATATATTCTGCTGTCTTCTGTTCATTCACTTTATTTTTACTGTACTTTCATGTGTTCTGTTCATATAATCTAATCATGTAATTTTATAAATGTTTAAATAAATAAAAAAATTGTTCAAACTATGGTTTTGACTATCTCATCTATTTCACCAGAACATACCAACTATAGCCTATTTGACAGGGTCCCTATAGGCTGTTTGTGGACAAAACATTAAAAGGTCATATTTCATAAACACAGTGCTTAAATGGTGTCCACTGCACACAGGCGTCGCAATACAACACACTGATGTACAGTACAGCCATTAATTGTGTGTTATTAGCAGTGGTGGAGGAAGTACTGAATCTCAGTACTTAAGTAAAAGTACAAATACCCAGATAAATATTTACTTTAGTAAAAGTAGAAGTAACACAATGACAACCATACTTAAGTAAAAAGTAAAAAGTACTTTATTTTAAATGTACTTTAAGTATTAAAAGTAAAAGTACTTGCATAACAATTTATTATCTTAATGTCTATTTTCTAATGATTAATAAAACATTTAATTCTAACTCATTCAACCTAATAGCCTACTCCTATAATGATGTTCAATAATGATGGGAAAAAATTGTCACCATTTCTGAAACAAGCTTGCAATTAGGCAATATACACATCATGCTTATCCTTACTATATGTTAATAACTATGTTTGGCAGTAAACGCGATTCATTTATGGTGTAATTCTGAACCTCTTGGCTTGCCATATCCTAACCAAACCAAACATATATTACACACGGTGTGTTTCCTATGCACGTAAAAACAAATTTTCGCGTATGAGTTTGCACGATAAACACACTGGTGCGAGACACATTTAGTGTGACCGGGTTGATATACTGTATCCATGGCAACCAAACGTCACTGGTGAGACAAACGTGCAACGAACGGATGGTCAGATTACGTTTTGGCAGGGGAAAAACTGATCAGAAAATGTAACGAAAATGTAACAGAAGTTGTAGAAATGTAGTGGAGTAGAAAGTATAATAATTGCTGCAAAATGTAACGAAGTAAAAGTAAAAAGTAGGCTCTATTTATTGTACTTAAGTAAAGTAAAGATACGTGAAAAATGTACTTAAGTAAAGTAACGAAGTATTTGTACTTCGTTACATTCCACCACTGGTTATTAGCCTAAAAATGGACTGTCCACAGACAGCCTACAGGGACCCTGTCAAATAAGTTGCAGATGGGCACAATATGTAGTCCCATTGGGACTCTCTTGTGCCCAACTGCAACTTATTTGACAGGGTCCCTGTAAGCTGTCCGTGGACATGTCATTTTAAGAAATGTTATGCATAATTATGAACTGTAACGTACTCCAACATGTCTGATTGTCTTCCATGTGCACTGTACTGCATGTTTTAAGCGATAAAACATTAACAATCATGAATTATGACCTAAAAATGAATTGACCACAAACAGCCTAAATAGGTCCCGTCAAATAAGTTGCAGGTGGGATGATGTTTTATGCATTTTTATCAGTCATGACTTCAAAACAGGGGTGGGCAAAGTACGGCCCGTCGAGTATTTAAAATATTGTCTTAAAGATTGCATTCGGTGGCGAGGGGGGTGTGGTTCAGAGAGGTCTGTAGCGGGAGAGCGAGGGCGGAGCCGAGCGGTGTGGGCCGTGCTGACAGAGTGGGGAGAGAGAGAGACTGGGAGCTCGTGCACGCGCTGTCGAGAGAGAGAAAACACTGGGCCATTCAGTGGAAAGAGTGTTGCTGCATTTGTGACCTGAGAAGCTGTATCCAGTGGGAAGAGTACTGCTTTATATGTGATTTATTTTTTGAAATATTCTGAATTAATTGTGTGAGCGCGAGCAAGCGCTGTGGGGAGAGAAAGTAACTCAATAAACTGCACGAGCCCCAGTATTCGCCAACCCTGTGTCTCCTTCCATCACCCATTCACCGAACCAACATCCTGTTACTCATTCATTTTGCCTTTTTCCTGCAATACTTGAATAAAGCAGATCATCATTCATTCAGAGCAGTTGTGGCTGTGCTGCGGTGTCACGTGACAAGCAATGACGCGTCACCATGGAAAACCATACAGTGAATAAATAACGGTTGCATTGCAAAGCTCACGCTGCAGAGTCAGACCGTTTTTTGTAATTTGTCATATGCAATTTATAACTAATATCCCAGGAAACAGAACGTTGGCACAATTGAATCATTGACATTTCAGCACTCCTTCAGACAGCGACTTAAGCGCAATAAGGCTCCTTGTTGCACGTTAATGTTTTTTCCTTTTCTGGAAACTCACAGAGAAAAAAAATTTTAGTAACCACTTGTACGCCTGATTATTTTTCATTTGATTTTATAGTTTGTCATTTGATATTTTAGTTTTCTTGCTCCTCTGTATTTGTCTCTTGGACTGCTTCCGGTTACCGACCTTTATCGCCCGGCTTTCGACTACGCTCCTGTCTCTGCCATGTACAGAAACCGGTTTTGGTTCAATAAATGTTTCTATCTGCTTTTGATTTTTACGTTTTAGTTATCATACTTAAAATAAATTGGTAAATTTGTTTATTTTATTTTATTTTTTCACAAATGTATGACGTTTGTGTATTGAGTGCATTTTGATTACCATATGGAGTTTTAATAAAGTTGAATTAATGTAACCTTCTCCAATTTTACAAGTGTACACTTGTTTGTTTCTAATTTACTGTTTAATTTACTGTAAAATAAAATTAAAATAAATCTAAAATTAAACAAAAAAAATAACCTAAAATATAACAATGCTAAATGGGGATATCTATAGCATATAAATTAATATACCACATAAATTACGTGATCCACGTAAATGTGTTTGCTGGTATAATCTGCCACTGGGCCGGCCCTCTGTCAAATTTAAAACCCAGTGTGGCCCTTGAGCCAAAAAGTTTGCCCACCCTGCTTCAAAATGATCAGCATTCCACCTGTAACTTATTTGACGGGACGTGGTCTCATAGGTTATCAGGGGGACGAATAGGCAGTTCGTGGTCAGTGGCGGGGCCCCGGGCTGTCACCTAGATTGGCTGTGGACGTGTAGGCCGTCCACATGGCGGTCACATAGGCGGTCAGGGGGATGAATAGGTGGTTCATGGTCACATAGGTGGTCAGGGGGACATGAATAGCCTGTTCGTGGTCACATAGGCCGGTCAGGGGGACGAATAGAGCAGTTCCGTGTCAGTGGGCGGGGCCGTCATCGAGGATTGCGCGGCGGACGAATGAGGCGGATCGTGTCGCATAGGCAGTCAGGGGGACGAATAGAGCTGATCGGGGACTAGGCTGTCGTGACGGGGCTCCGAGGTCAGGGAATTTCGCGAAAAGGCGGTCAGGGGGTCGCCCGCCTGCAACCTGTTCGGCACGTGCTGAAACGACTGCCCGTATCGTTGGGTCGCCCCCCTGTCCGAGGCCCGGCTTGCGACGCCCCGCCCCCCGGCCGCCATCACCGGGCCCTGAAAAATCGCCTAGGGGCGGCGAGCGCGGCTCCGCTTACCTCCTACCACGGGCTGTCTTTTAGGCCGTCCGCGGACCCGTTCCCTAACGTGGCGGCCTAAAGGGCGTGAGGGGTTTCCTCTGCCTCGGGCCCATAGGCAGCGCCAGCGTCGGGGAGTCTCCTCCTCTCAAGACCTGGACCAAGGACGAGGTCCAGAAGGCCAGAGTCCTCCGCTATTACCGCTGACCAATAGCCGACGATGGGCCATCAGATCGTTGGGATCAGATGGTGAGGATCTTCCCGTGTGACCTGCACCAGCGGGACGCCCCTTGCCCGGCCAGTCCCTCAAAAGGCCCGGTTCTTCCTTTCGGCCAGCTTGTCGACTGCGGTCGGTCTCAGAGTTCGCCTGTGAAGTGATTGGCAGGAGAGTCTTCGGGTACCCACTGACGTTCGGCCGCAGGATCTGTACATCCCATCACGGTTGCTACTGATCCAGAACCACACTATATGGAGGTTTAACGAGACCATACATACAAGCTGGCTGTGCCACGAGACGTGCCCAGAACACCCACCCGTCCGCCTCCCCGGAGGAGAGATTGAAACCCCTGGAAGTGCTGGAGGACGAGGATCAGCTCGTGGAGAGGATCTAACCACCTTGGTTCCGGCGAGCACAAACAGCAGTTGGACAAATCTGGAGGTCGGCCTCACTGACCTCAGCCCTGACCTGAGCCACTCTGCCGCCTACAACAGCTATTTAAAGTGCTGCACTGAAATCTCTCTCTGTCCGGACCTTTTGTTTCGTTTAAGAGTAAAAGGCAGCGCCTGATGATGAGGACTGAGAGCCTTTCCACGATATTTTTTTTGCACAAGTGCTTGTTTTTCCTTTTCGTAAATATATTTTTATTATAATAGGATTTTTATACATTTTTTTTAGTTTTGCTGCAAACAGCTTTTGTTATGTTGTAAAACATAACAAATAAAACTACAATATTACACATGCAAAATATGATGCTAAGATGCTAATAAATGATTGTGGCCCAACAACTGCGGACTCTGGTTTTAAAGTTAGAACTGCTTCATGTTTTAGTAAACAGTTTGTTGTTGAATCCGGCATTGAATTCATGGAGATTCTGGAAGCTGTCTTATAATAATCAACATAAATTGTAGCCATTGTTGACGAACTACAGAATCCGTGGGAAGCCTGAACAGAAGACCTGATAGCTGAGAACATAACACACTTTCGACAGCATAAAATGGCTATAGCTCTCCACTATAACTCTTCTTCTTCAACAAAGCCGCAGAAATATGGCCATGCCCCCTTTTTTGCATATTCCGGAGGGAGGGTTTGATGTAAATTTATGGGTTAGTTACATATA